ACTGATTCTGCAAGGAGGAGGAGAAAAGGTTCAAATATGAAGCTGATCATACGGACACCATACAGACACCATTCAGTCCACACTGAAGACTGATCACACACCTGTTGACCAGAGTGAAGTCCTCTTTGCAAACGGCGATTCCCTCCGGTCCAACTCCTATGGCCATCCTCTGAGCTTGTGCATCACGGGCCCAATGCCACTCCACACCATAGTGCTCCAGGGAGGAGACCAGCTGCAGGGCCTGGTACTCTACTGAGCTGGGACTCAAACCTTCCAGTGCTTTATGACGGGTTGTAATGCTGCAGCAGGACACAGTAGACAACAACAACAAGCATTACATTTCTTTTTCCTCAATGTGTTCTGATAAAAGTTTGTCATCCACCTAGCACTTCACAGCCACTGTGACAGATGTAGATGACACAGTGATCGGCAGCTACAACACAATTTTATATAAAAAATATGATTGAAGCTGTTGAAGCAAAGTATGTCCCTGATTTCACAGCAGTCATAAATAATGCTGCCTGCTGGCTCTGTGTTTCACACAGATACAGTGTAGTGCAGCAGGTTTGGCAGACAGGCCTTGACAGTGTATCATTTGAGAGGGTGTGTTTGTTGTGCACAACACATGCTTCTAGAAGAAAGTCCAAAATGGAAACAGCAGTTTGATCTGAACAGATTCCCAGCAGTTGTTGTCAGGACACGTGTTGTCGTGTCTCGTGTGCCTGTCATGTTTGTCACATCGTCACCACCGTGGTCTGTAACTGTTGTGGTCCAAGTTAGATTTGGGGTTATGAGAGTGGGGAATTTTTTTTTCCCCGCACACTTGCTCTGAATGAAGGAGCCGAAAATGTGCAGTCAGAGGTTTTGTCGGTTAAATTCCACAGACACGTTACCTGATCTGCAGTTAGCCATTCTGCTCATCTGTTCTTGTGTGTGTGTGTGTGTATATATTTGTGTTATTATTAGTTTCGGAGGGAAGCTTTCACATCCAGTTCAGAAGTACTTTGGTCTTAAATATACAAAAGTACTTTTGTTCAAATTTGAAGATATGTTTTCCTCTAAAAGAAGACTTCTCCTGTTGTCACGTGACATAAGCTGTCAGTTCTAACTTTCACCATGTGGCTATAATTGATGGTTCTCTTCACCAACTCATGAATTTCACTTGTAAATTCCTCTGACAGAACGTGCTTTGGTGACAGGAGAGAACATGTCTGTTATCTGTTCAGCTCATTTACATGCTATATTAGTTTTCTCTTAGTCCTTATCAGGGGTTCCCATGATGAGGGGATGGCCATCCTAATAGGTACAAACATTTGTGCCGCAGTGGGGATAAACTGCACTCATTTGTAATTTTATCTCCTTTGTCAAATACAGATATCAGTTATGTAGGACTTAAATGTATTCAGTGGAGTTCTGTGTTTAGCTCTGGCCTCAGAGAGCTGTGTACCTGTTGATAATTTCAGTGCTGGGCTCCTCTCCACATAGTTCCGAGTACCAGTACTGCGCTGTGTTTTGGTTGTAGTCTCCAAACTCTGCCTGTGCCAGGAGGGCACTTAGCTCCTCTGCCTGTTCCATGCCCATGCGTAGGTGACCGTTATGGAGGTCCTCCTTCACGTGGGTAAAGAAAACATGTCTGGAGGACAGAGAAGGAAACAGAAGGAAAACTTACAGTGAGTAATGGTTGTGTATAGTGAAGGCTTGAAAACATTCAAATTTAAACTAAATACAACATCAAAAAATCCAATTTCTGCTGCACTCAGTGTCCACACTGTGACTGACAGTCAGCTGCACTGTAGTGGTTGAGGAGTCACAGCAAACACCGGCTGGAGCAGGTGGTCAAGATAAGGGTAGAATAACAGCAGGTGTGTGTGTGCGTGCATGTGTGTTCCAGTGAAGCAGAAGGGGAAGAAAAGGCCACTGTGGCATTTTGTTCATTCATCACAATGGCTACACTTTCTCTCTCTCAGTTCCTTTTCTCCCAAACACACTGTTAGGACTTCCTTCAAGTGTAAACAAACAATGAACTCTCAGTGTGGAGGAAGGAAAAACAACGACATCTGGACAAGTGGCCTGTATTGTTAGTGGTGGTCCGTGAGGGTGTGATTTTCTGCTGAGCCAGCCTGTGACCTCAGCTGTGACTTGTACCCTATGTTCGGCACGTGTTAGAACCTCACACTCTTTTATTCAAAAGCATTAAAGTCAGTAGTAATCACAGTTTTGATGTTTAGGGAATTTTGTGGAAAATTCATCCAAACATTCATCGTGGTCAAAAACAACCATTGCTATTGTTTTGGGCAGAAGGATTGGGTTGAGAACATTGTGTTTCTGGTGTGGTCCAAACAAATCCATTCTGCCTGGTAAGTCAGGGCCTTTGTTTTTGGTCAGAAGATGTGAGGAATTCTTTCCCACTAGCAGCAGGAGACATTTCAGGGAGTAACTCCCTGAGTGACTGTTTGTGTCATGACTGTTGAACTGAAGTAACCTGAAGGGATTCTTTTTCTTCAGACCTCTGACACACTAACCTGAACTGTTAGGAGTTAACTGCCTCTGTCATGGCTGCAGTAGGCAATTATTTTCAGAAACGATCATGTTGATAATTATTTTTCCCCAACGTGTGATTGGTTGTTTGATCTGTGATGTGGAGGAAGTTGTGGAAAATATAAAAATAAATCAGACACATAAACAATATCTTATTTTAATTTTAAGTCACTTCAGCAAGTTACTCATTATTTGTGGCTGAATGTATAGTGTTGATTTAAAAATCTTGACATCAGGGTAAATGTTCTGCCCTTTATAGTGAGACTAGAAGGTATTTCCTCACAAACTCTGTGTTCATCTTTACGCACACAAAAAAGAAGAAGAAGCGTGTACGTGTAGCAAACTCTGTGTTCATCTTTACGCACAAAAAAAAGAAGAAGAAGCGTGTATGTGTAAAAACAGTGGCTGTTTTGGCCAAGTCTTGACTAAAACAAACTGTGGCTGGAGCTGCTTTTTTATTTAAAAGACAAAAACTTTGCTCCAGGTCATTTCCTTTCTCCTCAAATGTGATTTAAAAGTAGTTTTTAGATTAGTTTACTTGATTTTAAACTACAGTTTTAGTTCAGGTTGTGTTGTATTTGGAGGATATTTATTAGATGAAGGGGCTTCCAAAGACAAAATGTATTTGTTATATGTTTATGTAGAAGATGCATCATTCTGAGACGTCTTAGTGGAACCCCAGAAACCAGCTGGTGTTTCCTGTGTGATCTAATGGGACTTGATCCCAGACTCTTGAGGGACCTTTTCTCTACACCTGTGTTGCGACAGGGCTCGTCCAGTAGGAGTTGCAGCAGCCGCGGGGTTCACAAAGCTACGAACGTTTACACTCGGCCAGACCATAACAACCAAGTGCCGCAGCGGACTAATCTCAGGCACAACAAACAGTGCTTTGATATGGTGTTAAACATCCCATTCCCTTCAACGCTCGCACACAAAAACACTGCCGTCTATTGTGTCAGGCTCAGTGGGGCATCATGTGACGGAGCGCTGCTAGATAGCTACCTGTCTTATGCAAAACAATGGGGCCAAATTGACTCAGAGTTTACTACAGTTCAAGTTGCGGAGGTTACTCCAGTTCGGGCGAAGCTTGACGAAAGGTTAAGATCAGTCACTTTGCCAGTGGAGGAGAAAAAGTGATCTCGTTTAAATCAGGCTCTGTGGCTGATTTAGTCCACTAATCATCTGTGGCATCACCTGCTATCAGTTTAGGGCAATTTTTAGCTTTACGTCTGCCGTCTATGCATATACAACGTGTGTGTGTTTGTTTCTCAGCAAAGGCCAAACACTCACTTCTCCTTCAGTGAAATAAACACCTTTTAGACGGCAGAACAGGTTAACAAGCCTGTCACAGAGGTGACTACAGTTCATCCAGAAGCTGGCCCCGCCCCCAGGAATGTAATCAGATTACATCTAACAGACACATGACAGGATGACAACATGAACAACAGCCGCCACCCGATGCTGTGAAGTCAACTGTATCTCACCACCGTTGCCTCTGAAACGTTAAAGCCTTGACAATAAAGCCATAAACTTTTATTTCACCTGCTTTAACGACTTACCCGGAAACTTCTGCTGTGATATTTTTATTTGGGTAAATTGACACAAATCAAGAGTGAAAAACTAAGACGGTTGTGTTGATGATCACTCTGATTAGGTCACACACTTACTACATCCAGCAGTGTGACAGATTTTATTCATCATTAATGTTGTTGTTACTGTATATTCTGATAACTGAGGGGAATGTTAACATACATTGGAATTTATAGTGACATGTAGATTAATGCGCCATAATGACTTTTAGGCACCAAATTAAATGTAAAAAAAAGCAATAATTTATTTTTATCAAAATTACTCAGACTCTGAAAAATAATTAATGCTACGTATGCTGATAAAGATATGCCACAAGAAAACTTTGAACCATTTAATAAAATAATTATTAATAATATATAATATTATAATTATATAATAATATACATAATTTGTTTATTTTAATTCTTCATTATTTATAGTCTTTTATTTCAACATTATTGCAATCGCATTGTTTACTGATTCGATTATATTAGTTTTATTGCTCTTTGTTTTGTTAAATTGGCCTAATATTTTCTGTTGATTTTTTTTTGTTGAATTTAGTTATTTAAAATATATATAAATTGCTGTATACGTTAAAATATTGCTTAAAAAAGGATTAGGTTTCTGTACAAAGAGACAACTTTTTCTTTTTTAAAAAAAGTGAGAAATTAATGGTTCACTCTGACTTTTACAGATTCTCTTCTGATAAATGGGTCAACACCAGTCAGCGGATTGTGTCGCTGATTGGTCGACATCATAACAAGAGTCATGCGTGAAAGAAAACACCCTGCAGTGGGTCATCGTTGTTGGCCTGGATCCTGACCGGATCTCTATGATGCAGCAGATGCAGACTGAATGGCAGGAAGTCTGAAACAATCATTCAGATTTGAATGAGGTCAAATCAACCACTTGATGACGTCTGCTTACTCATTACAAATCATTGTACTTCCTATTCTGTGGATGCCAATAATGAGGTCATTGGTTTTGACCACTAGAAGAAAATTATGGAATTGAAAAAAGTTTGAAGAATAAAAAAAAAAAGATACACTGGAAATAGGTCAGTGACTATTCAGCTGAGATAAGGTAAGTTCAAAATGTTCCAATTGGTTTCGCCAGTTTTTTTAATCGAAAAAGCACTGAATGTGGGAGTATTTTATTATGATAATTGTATGTAGGGGAAGAAAATAAGTTTTAAGACTAAAGTAAAACAAGTAACCAAGGTAACTGAGGAAAATTATTTCAACCTACGCTGTTATGTATAAAACAAAACTCATTAAAACTTGTTTTCTTTTAAGCCTGTTTATTCGCTAGGCAGAATGTCAGCTGCTTCACTACACACACACAGAGACAAAGCATCCCCACAAACTGAAACCTAAAACCACTGCTTGGAGACCGTGACTGTTCAGCCAATCATCAGTGGAGTTTCAGGCTTCTATAGTTGGGCGTTCAACAATGTGGTTTGTGAGCTAGTCAAATGACACACTGCCAGCAGCTGAGAGGTTACTATCAGTCATTGAACTGTAGTAAACTCTGCCGGTCATGCACTGAGAGGAAAAATCAAACTAAACCAGTTGGTCAACTGTTAATTGTGTCATTTATCTACAAACTGTAAAGGGAAAAATTAATTGCAAGTTTTTACAAACAGAAAATTAAACAGCTATAAACCAGAGGAGCTGCTTGCATGCTAAATGCTTGGGGTTATTGGATGTAGCTCTGTGCTGGCAGATAAATGGGTGATTAAGGTTTTGAATGCCTTTCAAGTTCGGGCTCCAAACCAAAAACAAGTCTGTTCTTCTGGTGCTGTAAGGCTAATGTTATGACTGTGAATAAGTTAAGCCAGGGCTGGGTTACTGGAGTTCACAAGAAATGAGAGGAAAGCAATAACGATGGAAAGTAAAGCAGCTAATTAATAGTTTTGTTTTTTTGACTCCTACAGTAGGCTTAAAACTAAAATAATCCTTAGAGCACCACGAAGAGGAGGTTCAGAGGGGAACCTGCTCTTTACTCTGAAATTGAACACAATTTAATGTAGCAAACACATACAAGTGTATGTGACTTTTCCTGCAGTTAGCATTTTATAAATTCCTGTATTGGTTTTCTTTTTAACCCCTGTGTATGTTTGTGTTTTACAGTGTACTTGGATTTTACTGCCTCTGACTTCAGTGTAAACACAGGACTTGTCAAACCAGGTCAGTCTCACCTTTGTCTCCTTTATTTTAACAGTCACAACACAACAACAGGACAATCTGTCATCTTTTACTGTTAATAGTTAACCAATCACAGAGCACTTGTAGGTAAACTTTTTATAGCCTGCAACAGTGACAAATGTGCTGATGTGGGGGGAGAATAAGGTGAGAAAAGGCTGGAGACCCCTGTCTGACTGATGTGAGGGAGGATACAGGTTATTGTTTTATTGTGCATTAGTCTTTGTTACAGAAGTGTTGCTTTAATTTTTTTTCACAAATGTGTTTAACTGACTCTTTTTTTCTACTTGAGTGAAATTACACTCAATATGTTGGTGTGATAATAGGTCATTCAATAAATAATCTGTAATTAATACTATGATATAACTGTATAACAGTAATTATATAAATAACCGCTGACAATGAGGTAGTAAAACATTAATGAGACAAAGGTCACTGAAGTATGAAGAGGAGTCTGTTTTGGCCGACCTCTTCTTCATGGGTCACCTCGGCAGATAATCTTAATGTGTAATTTGGCACAGAGTTTTATGCTGGATGCCTTTCCTGACACAAGCCTCTGTGTTTATCTGGACTGTCACGTACAGTGACCTGCTCTAACAGCTGGGGTGTCATGGGCAACCTGTAGTTAATGTGTTGCCCAGAGACTCAGCTCACTGCCTGGAATTAAACCCCAGACCGTGTGACTTGAACTATGACCAACTAACCATGAGAAGCCCTTACATTCTTCAATCTAAAGGTTAATTATAATCATAATAATAATTAATCACGATTAAGTGTGATTAATTATGATAAATCAGCATGTCTTTGCTGGAACCAACAATAACAATTGTTTCCTGAGACTAATCCAAAACATCAAATTATAACAATAGGAAAAATGTCAAAATATCCAAAAGTATAGCTAAGACAAGGCTTTTAGACATGCCAAGTAATCAAGACAATGTCGAATATGTTCTATACAAACACACCCTATACAAAGATGAGACCAAATAACCACGGCAACAGTGAAGTAAAAATCATGCACAGATCAATAATCTGTCACCACCGTAGGTGAAAGCGGTAATGTCAACAGTAATGTCACCTCCCTGCACTATTTAGGCTTCAAAAAAACAAGACATCTGCTTATAAAATATGCGTCCTGTTGAAAACAGAACCATTATAAGATGTAATGATTAAACTCACTTGGATCTGAGTTAAAGATAAGCTCAGTCTCAACTCAGGCAAACATTGTCAACAACCAGGGCCTCTGATAAAGGCTGTGCCAAGGGCCATGTGCTTTCGTGGGTAACCACTGTGTGCCTGAGCAGAATGTTAAACATAGCACATAATGAGGGGGACAGGTGGGGGGTGGGCTTTCACATAATTAAAGCAAAGATACCCCCATCCACTGGTGTTAAATGATGCATATACATCATCATGGAAATATAGACAAATTCAACAAAAAAAAGTGTTTCATTCAAATTTAAATAATCAGATTCTGGACAGACCTTGAAAGATTAGACTAATATACACTTCACTGTTTGCTGCCAAATCTGTTTAACACCAAAGAGAGCCTTCACCAGGTATCTCCTCAGTCATTGTGTGAAACTCATGGAACTCATGAGTAGACTGTTAGGAGTTTGACGTGGCAGCAGAGTACACAGCAGCTTATATAAGCCACTCTCCCTGCACACTCTGTCCATTGCTGGTTATGTAATAAAGCCTGTTAGAATGGCGTAGCACAGTCCCCACCCCTCATCGCAGCTGAAAGATGTGCCCCCTTGCTTTGTCTGTGAAAATTGCTGTGAAGAATACTTTCAGCAGCCCACATGAACTTGCTAATTGCAGAGCTGCAAAGAAATGCTGCACTGTTGTGAAGTGAGTTTGTCTTCGACTGGCTAAAACAGGACTTTAATGAATTCTTAGAACTTCTCTGCTGTAATTATCTGCCACTGTGTTTTCTCCAGACTGAAATTACACAATCATTAACCACACTGGTTCTTTTGTTCAGTTCTTAAACCCACAGGCATGTTACTGATAAAGTTGTACAACAGCTAGATGGCTCCAGTGAGTGTCATGATGAAGGGAGCTAACCCGCTGCCTGGGAGTGTGCCCGAGTGTGGATAGTTGAAGTAGGTCAAAGGTGACAGCAGACAGAGAGAGTGAAACAGAAACCGGGCAAATCCCCCAGAGTAGATTTCTTAGTTAAAATCAAGACAAATGTTTAAATCACTCATTGTTAGAACTGAAAGTCATTCAATATAAATAAATAACAGGACTTAATTCTACTTTGTTGATGTCCCGCCTCCTTTACTGATTGAGTCAATGCGTGGTATGAAGCCAATGTCTAAATAAACAACCTACAAGCATGGTATCATTTATTTGTGAAGCCATCTTTCCTGTCTGTCGTCTCACTCCCTGGACCTGATTCAGAACTGGAACTAAGACTCTTCCTCTTTGGGTAATCCGATCACTTGAGGACAGAACTAAAAGCAGGTCTGGAAGTTCTTAATCTGTCCCGAACACTCAATCCTCAAGACTGGTTATCCAAACCACATTTAAAGGTGGTTTGAGGACACATGGTCCAAATCTGCAGTCCTCATGTTATTGTATTAATGACACCCCTGTTTAGGACACATCCTCTAACCTGCTGCACTTTCTTTTGACCTTGTGACCTCTTTTTGGTTAAATCCTTCAAACTTCAAATACAGTGGCACAGGTAACGTTGTCTGTTATGCTGTAACATCAGATCTCATCTGTGTTCACAGGCAATGCAGTCAGATCACTCAGGACAGATGTACAGTAAACAGCAGCTATGAAAAGGACCTTTATCTCACCATTCCCACAACCGAAACAATCCCCACCCGGCGCCAGCCATCTGTTGATAACCCTGTTCATCCACTGGAGGTCAGCGCACAGGGGGCCAAACACTCTATCCAAGCTGTCGCTCACGTTCCTCTTGGAGGATTACCAAATATGGACCAGGGTTTGGGGGAAGGCAGGTAAGAAACTTGTATGCAATGGATTTAAATGTATCAGTAATGGTAAAAATAAGAGGTTTTTTTTCATAGCCCCTGTTTGGAGGAATAGTGACAAAGCACACAGTGGGCAGAGGGAAAAGTTGAGAGCATACTGGAAGGCTACACAACTCCTGGCCAAGTCAGATACATGTCAGTTTAATGAACAGCTCCAGAGGCACAGAGTGTTTGCAAGACAGATGGGGAGGAGAGTTTGGAAGTACTTAAAAACACCAAACAAAACCCCTCCCCCCACCACCACCAGTGTCCCCTCACTGCAAAAACTATACCAAACTCTGTCTGAGAGAGAGAGATAAACAGGCCTGGAGAATCACATTAGTTACAGCCTGTAAAATACAGTTATAGTTTTCTGGACCAGGAGAACCAAACTAGGGCAGAGGGTGAGTGGGTCAAGACCTAGACTAGTCTCGTATTATTGTTGTTTGGACTATTAGCTCAAAAACATAAATTGCCAGGGTGTGTCTGATGCAGTTGCTCGAAAATATTCTACATAAAAGTCATGAAGTACTTTAAGAGCAGATATAAAAAAACGCCAGGGTGAGTCATAATGTTGACTTCTGCTCGTGAATACAAAAACTGAGAAAACAAGACGCCACAAACCCTGTCCTGCTGTTACATCTGCACGGATCTGAAACAGGGGCCTGTCCCTTTGTTCAAACAGAAATGGTCGCAAAACAAAAGTTATTTGGAGTTGAATGGGGCCAGTGACAGAGGTCCTGCCTCAGGGTCTCTGGGGGTGAGTCACAGAGGGAAAAAAAAGTCAGAGCTGCCGGATCACATTTCCTCTGTGGTGCTTCACCAAAATGACCTATAGTAACCCCGGATAGGCTCAAGCAAGAGGTTACCACAGGGCATTCTAGGGCACTGGAAACAAAGTGATCAGATTATGCTATGGGAGCTCAGTGATGATGCCTTTGTTTCCTCCCACATTTGCTTCTTACTGCAGGACACGTGCAAGAAATATTTGAATAATACGCAGGCCAGCTGGAGTACAGGTTTTGATCCAGAAAGAATGGAAATACATTAAAAAAGTCTCTCGTGTTTACAAACAAACAGATCGGGCATCAAGAGGAGAAATCTACAAGTTGTTTCCAAAGTACATGAGCTGGGGAATGTACCTTGTCTGCTCCTGGAGGATGAGATGAGGCTCCACAAAGAACTTGACCCGGAGCCTCAGTCGACATGGCGTCACATTGTCCATCTGCTGACAAATGCGATTTCTCAGATTCAGCCACAGGTTCTCCCCTTTGCCGCCAGTAAACTGTAGCCCAAAGTAGTCGACCTCAATTATGCCCAACTTTCGACAAACCTGGACAGAAAGACAGCAAGTGGAAAACATTGTCAGGAAAACAGATTTCAAAACGTATCAGGCAGGAGGGTTTAAAAATGAAACTGTTTGAGTTATGAAGACATTAAAGGCTCATAAAAAGTTTTGTTGTTGGGTTGTCCTGAACTTATCTAAAGGAGATAAAGTAGATACATATGTAGCTGTAAAATTTAAATAAAAAACAAACTAAGAAAATAAGACACACACTTAAAAAGCTTTTACTGCATTTTCATTTCATCTTCAAATAATCAAAATACCCTGTGTTGTAACAATGACAGGTCACTCCAGGGATTTCTACTTGAGCAAATGAAAACAGGAGCCCGAGTTCACACACAAGTCTGCTGCTCTTCAAATCAAATGTAAGTTTAAAGTTTGAAGTATTTGTCTTTTTTAATAAGACCTAAACTGAACACAACCTGGCCTTTACCTTTGATGAAAATATTTAGTTGTGTAAATGTCCTGATGCTAACACACAATACGTTGTAATATTACAGAGTTATTGTTTAGTAACAAAAAGAAAATCCTGTCTGTCCTGAACAATGAGAGGTCTTTTAGACCCCAACTATGATTTGGATTCTTACTCTTTAGCTTCAGAACCAAGCTGACTTCTTATCATATCCAATTCAAATTTAAGTTTAATGAATTTGTCTTTTTATTATCTGGGCATCTGGGTGTCAACTGTGAAGCGGATATTTATGATACAATTGTCCTGATCTTCTGACTGTAAACACTTCTATTCTAACTTTGTTGAGGAGTAAGAGAATTTGGCCTCCGTCACAGCTACAATGGGCAATAAAAGCAATAATCATTTTCCGATTTAGATGAGAATACACACAAAAAGAACTAAACATTTTTCTGACATTTTATTTTTGTTGAAATAGCATAACCTTCTTTCATTATCTAATTGAAAGTTCCAAATGCCTAAACAATAATATTAATATAAAAGACATATTGCGTTGTCCTCTTGGTTCTTCAACTGCTGTTTTGCTTTCTCACACTAATGCTGGCTCGAGGGACAGCAAAACAAACTCCCGCTGCGTAGAAAATCTCCTTGGCAAGAATCCCTGACTCTGATATTATTCCTAAACACAACACTTCAGTGTTTTCTGTCAAATAGACTTCCTGAATAGACTATAGAAAACACTGAGTGTCAATTTGACTCAGTGTCAAATAGACTTCCTGAATAGACTATCAATATTTTCCTCATGCATGGCTTCCTGGGCCAAGTGGGCTCCTCACAATCAATCCCATGCCCTCTCACTGGCAGAGCCCTTACATAACTACTGATGAACGTCTGCAGGGAGCATGGAGGCATCAAATGAAAGCCATTCATTGTGGGCTGCATTATAGAACAATATGGCAATAAAACACACCAGCAGCTTTATGCAAGACTGAGTGTGCATGTATGTAACATTACAAGGGAAGGAGGAAGGAGCTGGGTCTATGCAAAACTTTTGAGGCGGAAGTTTTCAGTTTGCGTGCAGGAATGAACTCTAGTAACCTCGACAAATCCACCAGCAGCCTCTTACTGGCTGACTTTTCAATAGTTTCCATTAGTACATTTAAACTTTTTCCGAGTGTCATTCACACTTTTGTGCTGCAAATGCGCTTGTTTTACTTTTTTGCGCTCATTTAAGGGGTGTCACGTTTCACGCACATGTATGTGCTCATTATTAGGGGGGGCTGTACGTCGTGGGAAAAGGACACAATGTATCGTACGTGCCCTTTTGCAACAATGTGTCATACTTCTCGTAGGGTTTGAAAGAGAAAAAGTACATTTTTCATACCAGGCTAAAATAGAATATATTCGTGTATGCATACGAGCATGCATTTGTATGCATTTAAATGCACGATTCTGTTATTTACTGCTACTGTCACCGTGAAAGCGCACGTTTAGCGAGGTGCACGACGTGAGGTGCACGACGAAGTTTTGCGTAAAAAGTTAGGTAAATTAAAACAAAATAAGTATTATTAAAACATTTCAGATACATTACTATAAAAATTAATAAATATGTCTGTGTGAGAGCAAAAACAATAACGCAGCCTACCTTATTCAGACAATCCTCTCCGTTCGCCTTCGCATCAACTTCCACTTCCATCACCACCGAATCCGGCCGTGTAACGTGACAGAGCATTTTGGCAGCCTTTAAATTAAATCTTTGGTTGTGCCACGCTTTAAAAATACCAAAACGCTCCTCTTTCCTTCTTAAAATAAAACTAAAAAAGAAGCCCCTACATGAAGTCTAGCTCACTTTCTCTCTCCCTCACCGCGAGTGCCTGCTCTCTACAGCACCAGCTGTAGTCTAAGTCAATGAAGGGAACCACCGCACCGCCCACCTTGCCTTTAGCCAATCATATTTGAGGTTACATAACAATCTGCAGCGCTCAGACCAATTAGAAGTCGCGTTACATTTGTTGCCTTTGCTTGCTGTGAGGTGAGAGATCCACAGCGCCCTCATCTGACCAGCTTGGGAACACGAAGTGGAGTTTTCTTCGTTTCACCTGTTTTAAAAAGCTTGGGGTGAAGTTTTCTTCGTTTCACCTGTTTTAAAAATGAATTCTAGCATTGTGTACGGCATCACGTTCACTCGGCCTGGGTAAATAATGAATGTGGAACATTCCAGAAATAGCTGTGATAACAGGAAAACGTCTGTCGTGCATTTTTATCAGTGTGTGATGTTGCAGCACAGACATATTTATATAAAACAGAGAGAGTAACAATGTGTGGTAGGATCTGAAATATGTCAGAGACACGGCTGAGTTTGAGCAGAAGAAGAAGAAGACAAAGAAGAAAAGGAAAATGATGAAGAAAAGGAAGATGATGAAAAAGGAAGTTAAAGTAGGCAAATAAGTAGAAGACGGCAAACAAGAAGACCAACAAAAAGATTAACCAAGAGACCAATAGAAAGAAAAGGCAGACAAAGAAGATGAAGATGAAAAATAAGAAAAAAGGAAGGTCACAAGGAAGAAATGGAAGATGTAGCACATCTTTGCATGTAGCATGCAAATAAGCCAAACCAAAGAAGACAAAAAAGACAAGGAAGAAGCAAAAAGAGTCAAATATTTAAACAAAATAAAGAAAACAAAAAAGATGAAGCAAGAGATTAAAAAGAAGAAGAAAGTACAACATCAGACAACAGTCAGGTCGTTGTTGCCTTGATGATCAGGATGATCTGATAATCTCTGTGGCTGCTTCACTTGACAACGATATTCTAATTTTAAACAGACTTAAACAAGAGCGTGAATAAGTCTCCTCCATGGAAACAGTGTTTTCTGATGACCTCAATCAGAAGACGAGCTCCGGTTAAAAGATAAATGCAGTTAGACGGAGGCTGATGTAACTGGCCACGTGAAATCAAAATTAAATGATCAACTTTTAATGGCTGTAAAGTGATTGTCTTATTCAGAATACATTTTAGTCAGACTATGAGACTGAATTAATTAATTCAGTGATAATCCACCCTCTACATCACATTGTGCTTCTATTGCATTCCTGTCCATTTCTGTCAACCATCACAGTGACATCACTGCTTTATATGGGATTGGGAGCATGAGGGGGTTAAATGAAGTCTAGGTCTCAGACTATCTATCTACCAATGACATCACACCAGTGGTTTTTACTCAACGTCTGTGACTTTCAGCCTCTTCTGCATACAAATTGACCCCAGCAGCCTTTTATCAGTACCTGTGTGCAGGCCTGTTGCTGATAAGGTCCACCAGTTTGCAGTCACCAGTAGTCAGTGTCCTTTAACCCTGAGGTGATGTAAGAAGGTGAACCTTGAATTTCATTTGAGACGTTTGCTTCCAGTAGCCATAAATGGCAAAGAGTGGGAGATAGGGAGTGATCCGACAGTTGCTGTCAACATGGGACGGTGGTTACTTAACTCTACACACACATACAACCACCCATCTGCCCACCCTCTACACACACACACACAAATGCATACAGACACGTAACAGTGTACACTGAATACTTTAAGCCAGCGGTCCCCAACCTTTTTTGTGCCAAGTGCCAGTCTATAGGTACTGTCTGCTATCATGGACCACCAGCACCAGTAGGCTGAGTTAATTCTCAAAATAAAACAACTTTTAGACACATTATCTGTAAATTAAGAAAGTAAGGGAAATGACCAGAGTCTCTTATAATGAAGTAAATTATGAACTCTTTCACTGTGGCCTGGCACCAAATGACCCACAGACCACTGTTGGCCTGTAGACCAGGGTTTGGGGACCCCTGGCTTAAGCAACCTACTGCATTTGTGACTTACCATTGTGGTACTGTAATAATGTTGCCTTTATGTGTTGGTAGATGTAGATAAACGTGTTTTTCATAATGCCACTGCTGTGCCTTTATGTGTTGGTAGAGGTAGATAAACGTGTTTTTCATAATGCCATATATTGTTGCTAGATATAATTTACAAACAATATTTTGGGTCAGTGCTGTAAGTGGTGGGTGTTGTATTTAACTCATTTGGAGAAAAAAGAACACAACCAATTTGAAATTGTAAAACTTTCTTTCTTCAAATATGACTTAATATGTCCCCACAGAAAACATGTGTTTATAATGTGAATTTATATGTAGTTTCAGTATATAATTTAAATTTGGTTTCAGTCATTAGTTGTAGATTAATGACTAGGCATGTCAAACCTACTGAATTCCACTTTCTTCTTTGGGTTTTACAGACTAGTATTTTCTTTTTCTAATACTGCCATCTTCTGGCCTATTTTCCCCTGGTGAACATTCCTTCACAAATCTTAACCACTTGTATATAAAGGAAAAAAGAGCCCCCACAAACAGAAGTGTACCTTCTATAGATACTGTAATGACCAGCTGTGTAAATACTGTTTAATATTATCTTGTCTTTCTTCAGTAAATCCCTCCATACTCCACTCTTGGGGGGTTAATAGACGTGAAGTAAAATAAGGAACACAGTTACACAATGATGTCAGTTTGGGGGAAGGACAGCCTTTGTCCATCTGGGTCCTTGCGCAGACAAAGACTATATGTAGATTTTTCTGCTTTGCAGCTAGATATGACATCATGCAATGTGACATCACTTTGCTCTGAGGCCCTGCTCATCCAGCAGAGTATGAACACATTGCCATACAGGGAGTTAGTGTGTGTGTGTGTACTGTGCATGTATGTGGGCGCATGACATCACAACGTCATCACTGCCCATCTCAACAAAAGCTGTGCCACTTGAAGCAGCATGTGCCGTGTTAGCAGTGCTGCTGTGGCTGTTGTTGTGGTTGTTTTTGCCACGTTTATGGTATTTGTGTTGTATTTTCTTCTTATTTGTTGCTGGAAATCTGAAGAAGGAGGAGGGCCGGTTTTCTGATGGTTCGGGCAAAAGAACTAGTTTTGATGAGCATGTTTAAAGGCCAGAGGGTGAGTTTCACATCTGAGTCTGAAGAGACCAGGACGCCACTACGCACAAAGCTCGACAAATGAAGAGCAATTGTTGGACACTTAACACTGAGGCTTCAAGTGCAATGAAGAGGAGTCAGAGGTTCAACAGTTCGCTCTGCTTTGGAGATGATCAGCAGCAGCTGCGGTCAAGGAGTGAGGGCAGAGCAGAGGAGCTATCACCCAAGAAGAGCTCTGATGGAATAGCTGTCACAGAGCTGCAGGAGACAGAGTTAGCAGCAGAAGGACTGCAGCCGGGGATTGAGGACAACGGTGAGACAAAGGAAACACAGGGGTCAGCCTTATTTAGGCCTGAGGGTCTATGGATGGCAATAACAAGATGCCTGTTCCTCCAGTGGCCCACTTGTTTGCCCATCAAGAGACAGAATAACAGAAAAATAACTAAACCTGTAGACCATAACCAATCCAAGGACACACTGTCATCTCCTAGCTCTGGGTCACTCAGTGGGAGTTCTTCAAGCTCATCAACCTTGTATGATATGGAAGTGACACTGCTAAAAGAGGAAGTCAGAAGCAGGGGGGTTAAAAGCTGCCCACCCACTCGTTATGGAGTGTCCTATTCTTACCCCAAACTGCAGCGAGCCAACGGTGCCACAGACTCTGTGTTGGTCACAAAGATCTTGGAGAAAGAAATGTTCTTAAGGATCGAGCTGATTTACTCGGCAGAGAAGAGGGAGAGTGATTTACAGTACTGGGCCGAATGGAAGCTGTCAGGGAGAACCAAAGAACTGGCAGCGGGAGTCTGGCTCCCTCGAAGACCAAAAAATGATTGATTGACTCATTAAGTTTGAAGTTTGTTTGCCTTTAAAGGGGTCAGACTTCATGTAGCTGTCCAGTTAGACTGGCTACTACATCACCTTGTACTTGCAGCTGACTCATTGTGTGAATGTTGAGATGTAATGGTTTTAGATTTTAAGAAATGTTATTTGCCAGGTGTTTTAGGTGGTGTGCGCACCAGCTGCTGTGTGCTGATATAAATGGAGTTAATGTAGCTTACTTACTGGAAACTGTAACAGTTGGTGACAGTTAATGTTTATCCTTTTGCTTTTATGACTCTGTGTGTCTCACTGATCATTAGATCTGAGCCTGGGTCTTACTGTGTTCCAAACGGGAGCTTTAGAATATGTCATGTGGTTGGTAATAGAGTTGACTTGGAAAATTTGAATATTTATTTTATTTCTTTAGATTAACTTGACACTTCATTTATGTGTTTATTTTTGTGTAATTATAATCATCTCAAACAAGACCTCAGTGGAGGAAACTCTATGAAGGCAGTAGCAGTCAGTCAGTGACAAGTAGACTAATGTGTTGACCTTAATTGCTTGGTTGGTTTAATAGTATTTTAATTTCCTCCACACAGTAAAGACATTTTGGAAGTTTGGAAACATTGTGTGGCAGTACTGCATCAGTTTGGATTTGAGGCGGTGGAATGAGTGAAACATGCAAAAATGATGTTTCTCAAAAGAATGAAAGTTTACCTTTTTGTTGTTAAATGTGTTGAGAAGTAAAAAGTTCATAGAAAAGCACTGGGTTTCTGCAAAATAAATGTAAATACAAACAGGGTGAACCATTTTCTTGTCTTTTCAGGGAAATTATAATATATTTTTTATCCCTGAAGCAACATACAGTGAGTCACCAGCCATTATTATCACTGACCACAGCCTCATTAGGCCAGCGATGCCTGTCTAACAGACACAGTCCTGCTCTTCTTCAGTGAAGACTTGATTCCTCCAGAGATATCATTAAACAGAGACTGTGTGCCGCTGTGTTTCTGAGGCACTGCCATCAGCTAACAGGTAACCACACGGCTGCACAACCAGGGCAATTATACATCAAACCAAGGACATATTCTACTGATTAACAGGTGTGATTGAAAGTCTGTATTTGATCCGCACAAAATAGACATGGACATAGAAAAATGTCAGGAAAGTTTAATGCCCAATTCTAATCAGCAATGCTTATTGAAATAATGCTAATGTATTTATTTCATATTTAGCTTTAATTAGCGGTAGCTTTCATGACACCACCTCTTTCAATTTGGTTAAAGGGTTGGGTCAATTGGAATTGAACCTGGAACTATTGTATGACACACGACCCCCGTTGGACCCGGATTGAATGGTTTCACAGTAAAAGTAAATATTTAATCTGGATTTAATTGATCATCTCATGACTAAAGCCAGATCACAGTGCTGTAGTTTTAAAATTAGAATTTCACTTTGTCCACACTCACTTACTGCAATACTTCCTTTAAACAAAGTTCGTGTTGAGGTCATGATTCTGTCCAGAGATGATCGACAGTGACTTCTTCCTGTAGATGGAATTGAATCATCTATTTCCTCCAGCAAAGCCTGGTTATCATCACTGTATGAGAGAGAGAGAGAGACAGGGGAGAGAAAGAGAGACAGAGTGAGAGAGGGCTTATCATCTGTCAAGCAAATGTGTTTGTGCACTGACTGTACTGGGAGGAAGTGTCCCCAAAGACAGTTACATAATGAAGCGGTGGACAGTAAGGCCACAATTCACATTGTTCCCGCTGCCAAATAAGGACAAATGTGACTTAATGGAATTTTAGGATGGCTTGGTGAGTCAGCTCGTCTGTAATAACATCATGTTTATCTCCGGTGTCCATTTTATTCTAGGAAGCCATTAGGTTTACTGCCACATGACTGTGAGCCAGAGAACCAGAAACACAGCATCGAGCCCAGAGCCCATCACCTGCTGTACTAAGGTAGTGTCAACAACTGACCTAATGTGCATGCTGTGACTACCTGCAGTATTTAGTCCACGTCTTCCTCTTCCTGGGCTCCAATTGTAATAGAGTAGATTACAATGGAGATTCTTTGAGAGCTGTCCTGTGACTCAGCATTTCAGCTGGCACAGTCACTGTATCTCTAACACCCATCACTTATAATGTGTCTGAACTCCATGAGGTGGAGATGCAGTTATTGAAGTTATTTCAGTAAGTGTTTGTTGATAATTAACAGAGTGGAGGACACAGTTATGTATACACTGCATAGACCTCCTTGTCCTCCTGTCTCCTGTCTCTGTCTGACTCACCTGTTTTCTCAATATCTTGTTATTTATATGGTCCGTATTCTCAGTTTTCAGTTTTGTCCAGCCCAGTTTAGTTCAGATTCTTCACGGAACGTCACATTCTTGAACATATAAAAAACGATTTTCTTTTAATTCCTTCTGTTGCCATCAAATTTTGCTGTAACTTTGTAATTTCCCTGAAGAATTTAATATAGTATAGTACATCAATATAGTATTTTCATCTCAATTACTTTATTTTTGTTCTCTCAGATGTACTGGTCATATGTGATGGAAGTACTGTAGTTTTAGCTCTCATGTGTGTTTTCAAGTGTGAGCTGATGTGTGATGTATTCTCAAATAGCTCCAAGAGATATCTAGACACAGCAAAATCTGAAAATAACCTCCAAACTGACAGCAAATGAACAAGTGTGAAATCTCAGACCAGAAAAAAAACTCCACTTTTGCTAAAGAGACACCTCTGAGGCAGATGAGTTCTGCTAAGAACTACCTAGAGTGGATGATTGAGCACATTCTCAACCCTTAAGAATGTTGAAATTCTGCTAAAAGTCTGCCCATCCCTTCTTTATATCGCTCTTCCACTTTCATTTACCATTTTATCCATGTTACGCAGCTGTGACTCAGCCTCAGGTGTGTCTGCTGAAGCAGTGTGGCAGAGGAGCAAAATGCGACACTTAGCACAAGTTAAACACTTGAGTTCAGTGGAGAAGATGAATCTGGGTTGGATGTGCTTGGTGCGTGTGTGAGCCACGTCTGCGGAGGATAAAGGAGAGTGTGATGGATGATTCCAGGAGGACGTTTGTGATTACATGCATGATTATGCAGCCCTGCTCACACACACACACACGCACACACGTGGATACACTTGTCATCAGACCAAGCAGATGGCCAGAGGTGTTATCATAGCCTGTGTTACCAGATTCTCATGAAATAAATGCATCTTCTTCTCAGTATATTTATGTTTGTGCACATGCCTTGAATACCGAGTCAGCATTATGCAACAGCTCAGTGCTGGAAAGTTGTGTGTATGAGATTACTAGCATGAAACTCCTCAGTGTACTCTTCTGCTGTGTACTCTGTATACTGCTCTCCAAAGCCATATGGTACAAAGCTCATAAAAGGACAGCCAGGCTTCATTCCAGTAATAATTCTCATTATTATTCCTCTTCCATTCGACACAAAAATCCAGCTCAACTCCATAATGCCATTTCTCTGATTCAAAGTTGGCACCAGCGTTTCAAATCCCTTTTATTGTTGTTTTGAGGCTCAGCTCCAGTTTTGGGTAAAGTGCTTGGTTGTGTTTCCTCTCATTTAAGAGGGTTACAAAAAACATGATAAGTTTTTATAATCATGTTTGATGAATCTGTAAAGTTATTTAACAACTACTGTATCAATCATTTCATCCATATGAGGCACAATATACACTGACACTGCCCTTGAATTCATGCACAAAACTTTATTTAAGCTACCAAACACAAAATGTGGCCCTCACTGCTGCATTAAAACTCTTCAACTTTTGCAAAAAAAAACATTGCTGTCATTATTAGATTTGTTTGACCTGAATTGTTTATTTTATAGAAACTAGCAGAACAGTATTTTTCTCCCTCTAAATGATGGCACATATTCAGTCAGTGAATACTCAGTGTGTGGCATTTTTAAGTTTTGACAGAGAGTCCATGTACTTTGCAGTAAAATCAATTTACCTAGCTTTTACTTGTAGACTAACAGAATCGAACCCCTGACCATTTTGTTTGGGGGATAACCCATGATGCTCTGTCGTCCTTAAGAAGAGACTTTAACTGTGTTTAATAGAACAAAGTACCTTATTTATATGTTGTGTTTCACCGACTGAGGACGTGAATGAACCTCTCTCTGTCGTCCAAACATCTGCATGCCTGTGATTTTTTAGGTCTCCCTCTTCCTGATCTTTCAGGCTTGTATCCCCGTCACATTCTCCCGGGGGCTTGTTAAGACACATTCATATGTGGCTCACTCTGCTCATTTTGCTCGCCTCTGTGAATATGTGTTACACACACCGCTCTAGGGAGAGTGTGTCGTCCAAATGTAAGGACTAACGCCACAGTTAAATGATCAGTTCTGCACCAGTTCACATCACTGTACTTTGTCTGTTGTTGCTTTTACTGTGATTAACAAGGTCCATCTACTAAAATAAACTAAAATATATTTATTTTATTTTATAGGAGGGGGCTGGACACAAAGGCAACTTGTCTAATGTCTTTTCACTGTCATCAGGACATAAGGGACCAGAAGCAAACAGCACGAATGGAAAATTGAATGTCTTTACTTGAAGTTCATAGATTCTTACCGTAGGTTGACAATAATGTTTTTTGATGATAACCTTTTATCCCCAAAACATTTTCAGAAAAGGTAATTACTCCTGTTGGTCTGAGTAAAAAATGTATCTTATTCACTGGTGTATATATAAGAAATGAACATAACCATCCGCTCAGAAGGCTCTCAGAAAATCCTTAGAAAATGCATATGACTGCACACATGCATTGAACTGTTTGTTCAATGCATGTGTGTAAGCAATGTTACAGTGCTTGCGACCTACATTCGTGTTGCTGTGGCAACCGTGCTCCTGTTGAAGGGTCGGGTCATGGGTTAGGTTCTAGAACAAGTAGAGTTGTTATCTTCTCTTGAAGGAGACAAATATAGCACAAAATTAGTTGTTGATGTTATAGTGAGTAGAAATACACAGACTTACATTCTTACACAGTAGCTTATTTATTGATACTGTAAGTTTTACTTTTTGTCTTGACTTCATTTGTACCATAGTTAGGAGATTTCTCTGTTCACTGAGAATGATAGTTTTGTAGGAATTCGATAAAATTTCAGTGGGAAAAAATAGTGAACCTCTGCCCTAGGTTATTTACCTATGAAGTCAGGTTGATTAAAAAAAAACAAGGTGTTGAAGGTAAGATAGAAAAATACAGTGATGGTGATTATGTTACATGGCCATATTTTATGATTACTGCAAAAAAACTTGTGTTCGGCACAACAGTTGCCACACCTGTTAACTCTGGGCTCTAACTTCTCCTAACTGTGATCTTTCCAGTTTTAGCTGATGAAGTATTTTTTAGCACTGACGATGTGTAAGTGTGTAATGAATGGAGTTACACATTAAAATACATAGGCTTCTTCCTGCAAACAGAAACGCACAATCAGCACAAATTGCTTTCTTGCAGATGCAGTTGGAGTTGTCACTTGTTTCAGATAGGCAGTGGGAAACATCTAAAAAAAAACAACCTCCTGTGCGTCACCAGGATAAATGGGCTGTCTTCACACTGTCTGGAAAGCGTCAGCTGAACAACATTAAATGTAAGGCAGAGACATGCAGAGTGCAGGGAAATCAATCTTTATTTTTCAAGTCCCCTGTGGACTTTTTTCTACACTTTGTATAATGTATGTCACGTAAATGGACGACTTTGCTGCAATATCTTAAAACCTGTTCTTACGGTTCCTACAGGAGGTGAGAAGGAACTGTGTGAGCAACAGAGACAGATTTGACTGTGTAAGCAAAAATCAAAGCCCACACTATACTAACGTATAAAGTCCAGTCCTGCAGCTTTCATATAACTTTTGATAAAGTAAAAATGTGCAGAAAGTGAAGAAGCGGAGAAGGTTTTTTAATGTGTCTGCAGCTTTGGTCTGGACCTGAAGGTGCTGGGAGAAATCAGTCTTTTAAGCATTTTAAATGTGTGTAAAGTTTTTTTCTAAAGTTGTTCATACGTTATCTCTCACACTGCACTTGATTTTCCTCTCTGCCCCTGTCTAGCTTCAATCAGGCTAATCATTTCCAGTGTTAATTGCTTCCTCACCCTGCAGTGCCGTCGTCTCTCGGGCTGTCTGTGAGCAGAATCACCAGTGTTCTGTTCTCTACCTGCTCCACTAGTCTAATGTTGATTGTCCTGCTGAAATGATTGCCCCCCCACCGTCTCCCACACCCTCCCACGGAGCAAACAGGCAGTTTACAGCCTCGTCCTACAATATTTTAAAAAACGTTGTTGCTCAAGTGTTTTCAGCTCAGGCTGCAGACAGAAAAGGGCATTTTTATACAGCAACAATCAATAAAATAAGAACAAATAAGATTTAAATTTGTGGGGGGGGGGGATTTTGGTAAAAAAAATTTGGCTTATCAACCGAAAAAAAACACAACCCCCTTGAGGACCTGTGTGGACCTGCTAGGGGCCGTCCACCCATTGTTGGAAACCTCTGCTGTTTAGGTTGAAGTGTCTTGACTTTATCAATAATCACACCAGTCAAAAGCCTCATTCTAACTGGGAATCATCAGCTTTTTTTTCCAGCTGTGCAGTGAGGAGATAGTCACAGATCCTCACATTTACTGAGTGATGCTTTAACTCTAACTACTGTGCACAGACACAAGCAATCAGGCTATGATGTGAACCACTGCCTGCAGCTGAACAAGTCATCACTGTCACATCTCACTTATTCCATCTCTATTCTCAGTAGATCTCCCAGTTCGCAGAATCACATTAGGACAAGAGTTCTGTAATGTGGGCCCAGAGAAGATGATCAGATAAGAATAGTTCAAAGACAACGAGCTGTGTCTGGACACACACTGAGGCCCATTCAGTCATGTCGCCTCAGGACAGAGAGACAGATAGAAATACACAGTGAGTACAAGGCAAAAACACAGCATGTGTTATATATATGAGTGATAGAGGTAGTGTTACAGTTTCATAATCTCTGCCTGATAAGAATTACCAAATGTTTGTTTTTTTTAATCTGGGGCATCATTGTTCAACACACTGTGTCCTGTGTTTGACCAGATGTAGGACTTGTCTTTATAAAGGACATACTGTATCTTTATATTGTCAGCAATTCACTTGATGTGTAACAGTATAATACCTTGACTATTGCTAACAGTGATGTACTGGAGTAAGCTTGAATCTCAAACTAACTATGTTCATATAAGGCTAGATTTTTAAGTAATATTCTAATTTAATTTTTCTTTTTTCGATGATAGTAAACAAATTGCTTGATGTAACTCATTTAAGAATTATTTGGAATGATAAGCATATTAATACACTAATTCAAAATTTACTATTCATTTGAGGTAAATAAATTCAAATTTGACGTACTCAGTGAAATCCAGAGGATCTAAAATGTAATACAGATGGTCCAACCTTGATATGGTGTGAGGTTCTGCTGGTAAATGTTTGAGCTGACAAATATCCCAGGATCAAAATATATTTTGTCCCCTTTAAAGTTGCTGTTTAAGTCCTGTGCATTTGCACTGTTAATACAACAATATTGAGGTATCTTTGTTGCTTTTACAGTTCATTTTGAGCTAACGTTTTTTAAACAGTTGGATAATAACACATTCCGATAAGAACTATTAGTAGGATGAACGCAAAATATCTTTTAGTATACTGTAGAAGCACTCCATCTAACGGACTGTTGATGAAACAATACTATAAGACTCTCAGTGTGGACAGTCAGGAACAGTCACAGTTCTTCACTACACTGTTATATTTAGCTGTCAACACTGCTGCTCCTAGGAGGATATTCGATATGCAATGTGGATTTCAACAAAGCAGAAAACCACACATTAATCTCTGGATTTATTTATTTATTTTTACCGCTTGCTGTGTAAAAAAAACCAAAAGGTTTAGGGCAGACGTAGACATGTTATCAGGAAGTACGGCAAGACGCTGCAGTAACGTCAACAAAAACAATCTAGAGGCGGGAAAAAAGATAAGTAGGGCGGCGGCCACGACAAATGGTATGTTGTGTATGAACTTTTTAAATTTTGTATAAACTGGCAATAGACTTGCTGTGTGTTCCCGCGCGCAATTTAATGTAACGTTAAAGTATGACTATCCGAACAGAAGACCTAACGTAATGTCACCAAAGTCTGGGAACGTTAACATTATGACACTGTTTTTATTAATATCTGTAACGTGAAGGTTAGCATGATATTACCAGGTGATGACATTATACAGTATTTGACTCTCTTTTGTAATGGCGGTTAGCTGCTTTATTTTGGTAATTTTTTTTATAAACAATTCATTTTTAGCAATTATATGTGCTGTAATTATAAATTACAATATATTATTACAACATTTTTTGTGCTGTTATTGGTTTAAAGGGAGTTTTGGAGCTGGACCTATTTTAGTGCCTCTACGGTTTCTTGTTATTTAAACAAAAACACAAAAAAATTACAGTTCAAGTGATGTTCTGGACCTATTCGAGATGTTACAACTACAGTTTTTAACCAGAAGATGGCGACGTTTCACAATTTATTCCCATTACCTAAATACTTTATTTATGGAATGGTTAATTCACTAATTAAAAAATATATTGACAAAATGTGGCCCCGGTGGTTCTTCAACTCCGATTTGGCTTTATCTTCAATCTGTTAACTACAGGAAAAGTTGATGATGACATAAAATTTGATTTTGACCTTCAAATAAATTGCCGAACACAAGCAAGTAACTACTGTCCGTATATCTCCATTATGTATTTTAAAGTCCACAAAGAATTGCTACTGTTATTTAGTTGAATAGTGATGTTGACATTAAAAGCAAAGTATGTCTGGAAAACTGTTCAAAAGATGAAGATGAAGTGACTTTAGATTTGACTTTAGGTAGGAGTGTTTAGACGATATTTGTCATCATGAATGTATGAGGGAGTAATACAGTTGTTTACCTTTAGGAAAGTTAATTTCCTGTCATGTTACACAGTGCTGATGTTACATTGCTTCAATTAAAATATCACTTTTAAATTAAATTAGCCATAGTTACACAGTGGATCATATTAAACTCAATGGTGTGTGCCTGCCTACCTAACATGGGACTTATATACAGGTTCCCTAGTTATACAGATACTTATATAAGAATATATGTACATGCATATATGTATATATATATGTATGTACGTATGTTCATTTGTGTGTATGTATGTACATGTATATTTTCAATTCCTCTAAAAGAAGTTTTGAATCTTTTGCAGCTTCGGAGGTAATTCTTTTCTAATATGACTTTCTGAAATGACCACCGTGTTTTTTGTACAGTTTTATCTGAAACATTTGCATCCAGTCTAGAACAGACCTGGTAAAGTTTCTACCCACACTGTCTAAAGGCTGCTTGTTTCTCTGATTTTCTCTTTGTACCAGTCTTCATTTATGAAAATGACTTCTAAAATTGCATTTCCCACCCCTGCAGGCTCCTTTGTGCTGGTAATGACGGAGGCTGGTGATTAACAGTCATACTGCATCCTTGATGAATCCTGAGTGTGTGTCCTCAACGTGGCCACTGCAGGAACAGATGGTCCCACAGGGAGTGATCCAGACGTGGTCCTGTGCCTGTGACTCCTTGGTGTGTGTGTGAGTCTTTTTCATTTTGAACTTGAGTTCACATTGTGCATTGTTTTTTCACACTGGTCACTGCTGCAGGCAAATGCTCTACTGTTATTATGTAACAGGAAAAACATGGTGCGTTTGCAATGTTAGGATTTGTTTTGCATGCATCTACACTGCATTATACTAAAGCATATATTATTTGTGGCCATTTCATGAGGTTGTGGAGCATCTGCTTACCTAATCCTAGTAGACAGTCACATCATCAGATGCTTTTCTTCATTTAAGGGTCTTTTCTGGTTGCGTGATAAAAGAGTTTCTTAGTTTTGACAAGTAAGCGGCTGATGCTTTTTGCCTCCAGTCTGCATGCATTATTTAGCTTTCTTCATTGATATTGGATTTCATTTTCCTCAAAGGTTTGCTTTTCGCTTGCATGCAAACTTATGCTGCTGAAAATAATTTTGTTTGCACTCAGACACACAGTTGTCTGCACAAATGTCCTTGATGTCAGTTACAGAGCTTCTGTTCACAGATGGGCTTCTGTGAGCTCTGTGAGAAAAAGCTGCAGAATTTCTGTGTCAATTTTTATGTAAGATTCATACAGACCAGAGGAGACTTGTCTATCAGATAAATAACTGTAATACTGTTGATACAGTGAACATTTTTATTGACAGCCTTGGAAGAATTCCCAAACTGTTAGTTAGTCCCTCTCTCATAACATGTATCCTGCAGCAGTTAATTTTCTTATATTGACTTGTTTATACCTTTTTATACCTTTCGTCCATTTTTACAAACTTTTAAGCTGAAATATTTATTTTTAAATGTCTCTGCTGCAGTCTGATGAAGGCCGGCTCACATTGTGGATGCAGGTTGTTGCCAGGCAACGCTGCACCATAGTCTTCCTTCTTTATTTCCCAGTTGTTGTTTATTTTCCCAGTTAGAACACACGTTGTTCGACATTACTACAACCCAAGAGCAGTGTTAGAGCTGCTTCACAGGAGATGCACACGTAAATAAATAAAGGTTTGCAGGAGGGAGAAGCCTGGAAGTTTGGCAGGTACTGCAGAGAGCATTGCCAAAACAAAAACACACAACTGAAACAAAAGAGTTTCAATATAATCCTGCTGGAGTTTAAGGTGGAGTAGGCACATAACTCAGTGTAATACAGTCAGTATGCACAAAGTTAAGAACAGATATGTTCATGTGTGTTGATGGTATCCTCTGCTGTTTTCTATCTTTTACAGTACGTCTTTCCAAGTTTTTATAAAGTTCCTATAAATGTTTACCAGTGGAAAAATAAAGACAGTAGAGGGCACTGAGGAGTCGCAATTGTCAACAGATTCCTTTAAAATAACAATATAGGAAAAAGGGAAACAAAAAATGGGGCAGTTTTAGGATCAGCCTATGTAAGAAATATTTACTATTATAAAATAAATCACTAAATATTTTAAATGTCTTTTGGTTGTAAAATATTAGAAAAGAATCATTTTGGAGGGTTTGAAATGTCTAGGGTAATTGTCTTGGTAAATATGTTAGATAAATAATATCTTTGTTGTGTCTCTTTTGTCTATTTATGTATTTATTGCCAGCTCAGGTCCTCTGGTGTGTGTGTGTGTGTGTGTGAGTTGATGCTCATCTGTGAATTTTAAATAACAGAGTGATGCGCAGACAATCATTCAAGGAGGATGAATATTTAATTGCTTTTCTATTTACTAGGGTTGGCATCTCTGTCTCCCCCTTTCACCGCCCACTCCCCCACCCCTCCTCGTGCCTGGATTAGGGCATGAATTCCAGCCAGTTTGTACATGACTTGTTTGCAGACTGCTAGAAAATCTAATTTACTCCCAGACACTGCCACTTCGGGGGACAGTGGGCAATAATGGGCCGGCTGTTGTATTCATACTCTGAGACAAATAAGGTCCAACGTGAACGCTGAAGAGGAGGGAACTCCTTTTTTTTGGTAGAAAGGAATGAAGTGATGGAACTCTTCATTCACTCTGGGTGGATGCTAACAAACTAAGGAAAGACCTCGAGTGGTGTTTTGTAGCATTTTATACCAGAACAGATGAATCTGAAAAATCTGAACAGGAGAAAGAGGACAGGTCATGGAATAGTGTTATGTGCTGTGCTGTAGCAGAAAACAATCTGTAATTGTGTTTGTCAACACAGCATAACTGTATGTACTTCCAATTCTGAAAAATTGTGAATTATCAGCTTCCTGCAATAATCAGTTTGAAAAACGATACTTTCAGACTTTTCAGATACTTTTTTTGTTGCATTTTGATGTGGATTTACATTTTTAGTTTGAAAGAAGCTGTAATGGAGCTTTTGAGAATACAAACAACATAAACCATTTGAAGTTTTATGCCTGGTGCTAAAACACAGTGTGATGTAGAAACACTGAGACAATCTGTGGTGTTAAGCAGCGCTGTTTGATTTCCCAGTTGGGGAGGTTGTTGTCATTGGAGAGACTTGTGTTTTTTTATTTCTCATTAGAACATTGTCCTTAGTCTTTCCTCCTCTTTGACCTGGCTGACACCTGACAGTAGACAGTAGACCTGAACATCATCTTTTTACTGTCACACTTAGACCACACGGCAGACAATTTTGAAACTTTACTCTCCGGGGAAATTAGCTTATCTCTGCAGATAATGGAGAGACACCATTTCAAACTATTCCAATAAAGAGATACTCTGTATCTCTGCTGCTTGGCTGCTTTTACGTGTTCTTCTCTTCAGGTTTCTTTGAAATGTCCCACTACTTACATTGATTCTTGATCACAGTAGTGAACCTAAAAAGCTCAGAACCAGATTTCAGGTACGACGTCCTGCAGTGATACCAAGTTAACACTGCACAGCCTGTACTTTAAATATCAACCAAATTCAAAAAACGAAATACCATATTGTTTAAGGTCAGAAGCAGCAATCCACAAATAAAAAGCTGAAACAAAGGTAAAGACTGTAGCCGTGGTATTGATTACCCAATTATTTTGCGCAGGCTCTCGCTGTAAACAGAGATTTCCAATTAGGTGATTTATCATCTTGTATTGATGTCATGTTGAGACCAAGAACCCAGCGTCCAGCTGCTGCACTTCTGACCTCTCCCACAGCTGACTCTGAGCCACAGTTATAATCACCCATTGCTAATTAAGGAGCTCCTGGTATTTGTGTTGGACTGTGACTCACGCAGCTGTATTTAAATGCTATTTATTGTGGCCACTTGGGTCTGTGCTTTATTCAAAGCACTTATGGAGAGGGCAACTGGACTGACACCTTTTCATCCAGGCTAATTGTTTCTGTTCTAAACAAATTCTGCTTTTCACCACATCATTTTATTCCCCCCCTTCAGAGCTTATTATACTGGTCCAAATTTCTTTACTTTACTTTAACTTGAAAACCAAAGCAAATGGCTAAGGATTTATTAGTGTATTATTGGAACCAATTCCATCAGACCATTGACATGGACTGTGACTGGGCTAAAAGGTATCAGTGGCTAAATTTTGCATATGTAACATGTAGTAAGCAGAGTGCAAAGCGGGCACCATCTTTTCTCTGATGTTATTGATCCATTGTACATTACACATGCTGCTATTTATAGAATAGAAACAAGCATCTGACCATTGTTAGCAGTAGTAAAGAACACCTTACAGTAGTGAACAGGGAGAAGCCTGCTCCAAGGCTAACTGTGGTTGTGATTTGACTGCATCAGGGTGCATTCTTAAAGCAGCGCTGAGCAGAGCAGCTGAGAGTGACATTGAGTGAGGCAAGGACAAGGGTGAACAGCTCTGTGGGACAGTGGAGGGTTAGCAGAGCTCACGTGCTCATGTACGGTAGAAGTGGACCTCCCAGGGGAGCACGGTGACGGGGGATTTAACAAAGGACGTTAGAGATGAAGGTGAAACTATAAAGGTTTTCACAGCTTCATGCTAATGAGGGGGATTATGTAGTATTATGCCCCTCTGTTCCCCACACACATCATCACCCAACCCTGTCACCTCCAACCTGAGGCCGTAGAGTCAGTCTCATAGGTGGGTGCTGCTTGTTTCACATCAGATTCAGTTTGTAATCCTCAGAAATATAAATGTAACCACTATTTAGTGGGTTATTGTCTTGATGTGACATGTGACATCGGTCCTGGTTGTTCAGACAGCAAAGAAGGTGAATGAACCTGGAAGTTAGTCAGACTAACTAACTGTCACACTAACTCCTTTCCTTCTTACGAACACACCCTCGTTCCCACCCCCTCGTCATCACCCTTTCTTCTCTTCTCCAGCTCCCCTCCGCCCTTCCTCGGCAGCAGCTAGTGGTATGCTCCACTCATCTTCGCCTCCCCTCCTGCTAAGTCTTCAGCAGTCCTCTCACCCGAGCAAGACCGCTGGGTTCGTCAGTGCCTGCACGTGTGCGTTAATTGGGTGCGGAGTTCATTGCAACGTTTTAGTATCCGTGTGTGAGTGTGTATGTTTACAACCTTTAGAGTTGGTCTGCGTTAGAGAGAGTCTGTGGATGTGAGCATCTCTGGAGCATCGTTTGTATGAGAGGACATGTGTGCAGAGTGAGAGGCAGTGGGAGGATGCAGGGTGGGCAGGTGGTGTTGTGATCGCCGGAGTTTTTGGTGTCAAGTCTTTGTGCAGTCCTCCTCCCCATTTTTGTCTCTCGTCTGTCAGTACATTGTAAGGGCATCACACACAGCCTCCTGCTGGGATGTCCACCTCACCTGGTACCAAAGACGGAAACCAAAGGCACTCCCGTAAGTGACTGTGTTTGTTAGTCGTTTCCTGTGATTTATATTAACGATCGCTGTGTTTCAGAGACCACTGCGAATTTAACAAATGAGTCGGGATAGATACAGATATTATTAACACAAAGATGAACGGTAGTGGGTCTGTGTGTGTTTTCGTTGTGTTTGGCTGCAGAACAGGACGCAACGAAAGTAAAGATGCGGTGGAAACTGGTTGTACAACACAGGCCAGTTTGTGTAACTTCTCAACGTGCATTTCTTGTGGTGATAAACGCTTAGATGTTGGAACGAGCAAAACCGGCAGAGTTGTGTGTATCGCTGATGTACTGTACATCACGAAGTATTCGCAAGTATGCATGTTGTGTACTATTCCCTGTAGG